TGCTGGGCTTCACGACCAACCCCCTCGCCCTTCCCCTCGAAGCTCCTGGTGGGGAGAGTGTTTCCAATCACACGGTACCACCGCGAGACAGAGACGAATGGGGGGAGGGGGTAAATCAGGGTAAATCAGGGGCTTTGACGAGTTTCGGAAAGGTTTACAGAGCAACTCGAGGTCATATTGTTGAAGAAACCATTGGAGGAGGAAAGAAAGAAACAGCCTTTGTTTGGTGACGGCGTGGGAGCAGGATGTAACCTTTTGACGAAAAAAAAAGAAGGTTGCCCTTGAAAAAGATCAAGGTTTTGGCGTTTTGCGTATCCGTACATATGCTAAGTAAGGGGGTGACATGTCGTCAATATCGGATGAAAAGATTGACAACCAAGGCCCAAGGGGGCGGTGCGTCCGTCTAGGCGGTTTTGGCGCGGGGGTTCTGAGGCACAAGTCGTTTGTGTTGCGTTTGCTCTACCGTCCGAGGCTCAGGCCAGAGCTGGGCTGAGATGGGCTGAGCTCAGCGTACTCTAGCTCGGTAGAGCAAAGCACGGAAGTATCTGCACGTTTGCACATAGCCTACAGCTTAGAGGAGAAGAGACGAGACGGCGCGGTATGTCCGGCTTGGGAGGAGTGAGGTGGCATATGCACGGCACGGCACCGGTACTGCGCGTTCGCTTGTTGCCCGGACTTTCCTTTGCAGTGACGGGACGGACGGGAGCCGGTGGACGGATGGAGGGGTGAAATATTCGTCACTTGGCGCAGGCTAACGAAGACTGCGAGTATCCCGTAGGCTGCAGGATCAGACGAGGACAAGCAATGGTCGGTGCCAGCGTTGAGTATGGGTAGGGCAGAGCCAACACTAGAGTTGGAATGTTGGACAAATGGGCAAGCAGGCGCCGAGGGGGTTGGAATGTGGCTTGGCAGGCCTCCCGGGGAGCACAACACGGGCCATCCTAACCTTACATCTTTTCGTGCGGATAGTTGAGCATTCCTACGGCAGGTGAGCAGACTGCGGAAAGGTGGGTGGGGGAAGCGGGCGCGGGAGATGGGATGGGAAGAAGTGGGTGATCCGAAGTCATCATCTTTTAAGTTCAACTTGTGTGTGAAAGATCAGGATTGCCCTGCCTCACTTTACATCGTAGTTGTGTTACTGCGCAAGTTAAAATGTCGTGAGAACGCACAGGTACCGCGTAGCCGCACATACCAAGGTAATGTACAATGCAGCGGCTGTGCCTACGGGCATTGTAACTACCGTGCCATCTTCTGCTGTAGCCTGCGCAGACGTACTCCGTAGCTTCTTCTTATTCTTCCTCTACTGCATACAATTGTCCAAGGTTTGGGGGAAAGTGTATTGCTGATGTGGGCCTGAGATGACGGATATTGTTAATGATAATGGAGACGTACCGATCCTCATCCCTACACAGCAACGCGATATGAACGTGGTAGCGATGATGGATAAGCGACGCGGCTTGGATTGTGACGTGGGGACATTCCGACATTGAGGTGAGGAAGACATGGCGGAAGTATGGAGATGAGGTAAGGGGTGTGTGAGATTGGGATTGGGAGACAAACGTTTATTTTTACACAGTAATCCAGGTTCTTAATCTTAGTAGGGTAACAACGGCAATCCGATTGCATCGAGCCGTTCACATTAATTAATTATCCGTACGGAGGTGCGTCTCAATAGTCCTTGTAGTTGCTACTAAGACCTAGACCCATAATTACGACTAATTTTAACTAATTAGAAGCCACGGATTATTTTTAACTTACTTTAGTTACTTTTTACCCTAATACTACCTATAATAACTACTTTAACTTATATATTACTATTATAATTATTACGAAGTTTATAAAAATATTAAAACTACTAAACTTACTAAATTACTACTTTTAAAACCCTTTTTTTCTTCTTAATATAGATCTTAAAATATTAATAAAAAAGAAGCTAGATCTAGGCATTAGAGTAATAATTTTAGTTTTATAAAGTCGTATAATTAAATAAATTACTAAATAAATATCTTAAGTTCTAAGAATTCTAATCCGTATTATTTTTAATGTTCTTATTTATATAAAAAAAAAATTCGACTTAATTATTTTTATTTTTTTAATTTAACTTATTTATTATAAAAATACCCCCCGAAATAGCTACTTAATTAAGTAAATTAAAGAGGTTAACGACGCTATTATTTATAAAGTTTATTATAACTAATATAGTTATAAAAAGAACTATATTAATATTACTAAAGACTTTATAAAAAATAACGGTATTAATATATTAATAATAACTATTTAGTAAATCCTTTATTATTATAGTTTTTATAAAACTAAATTAATTTATAAGCTAGGCTTAATAAAAAAAATATAGTAAGAGCGATTTAAGTAGTACCTCGACTATTAATACTAGACCCTTAACGATTAAAAGCGGGTTATATAGTTAAATAAGACTATAATTACCCTTAATTACTATTATAATAGTTATAAGCTCTAGTACTACTTAAATAAGGCTTATATTAAATAATATATATAAAAAAGTAAAAGGGTTATTTTAAATTTATATTTTAGAGCTCTTTTATATATAAAAAAAAATGGCCGTATTATTATTAAATTCCTAAGATTATTATTAAAAAAAAGACTACTAAAATAAAGATTACTTAGCTTAATACTAAACTCGAGCCCGTTTAATATTAATAATAAAAGCTTAAGAATAATATAAAATAAATAAACTTATAAAATTTATTAAATTATAAGCTCTAATTTAATTAAAATACGAAATTAAGTAAGTTAATACGGAACGGTAAGGGTAGAATTAATTAATATAAATATTATAAAGAGATTTTATTATTTAAATTATTCCTTTAAGTTAAAGGATTATTTAATAATTTAATTATATAAGAGAATAAAGCGCTTATTTATAATTATTATTTTACTTATTATATATATAGTTTTTTTAAAATTATAAAGCTTTTTTAACTAGGTAATTTATTTAATTTTAATCTTATTAAACTTTATTAATTATAAATAAAGAGATAAATTATTAAAAAGGGGGCGCCTAAGTTCTAAATAAAAATAATATATTATTAATAAGAGTATTAATATATATTATTATTAAAAGAAATTTAAAAATAGATAAAAAGGATACCTTATTATATTAAATAAATAATTATACTAGAGGGTAATAATAAATATAAAAAGAGTTAACGGGCTAAATTATATTATTAAATAACTACTAATTAACCTTAATTAACGCTTTTTTATTATAAAATCGATAATAATTAATAATAATTATAGTAGCCGAATTCTGCTACTTATATATACCCTAGCTAGCCCCTTGTCGACTCCCCTGTCTGTGGCAGGGGTTAGTCTTGGCAGCAACTGCAAGGACTATTGAGACGCACCTCCGTATAGAGGACTCTCTTGTCATGTGCCGACCTGGATATAGAGTGGTCTCATCACAATCAGTGACCAAAGTCGGTTTAAGCCCGTTGGTAAACTGTGGTTACTGTGGTTCTCGACAGGCTTGTGACGAGATTGACCGACCTGAATTGATCAACGTGGCAGTGGCAAGAATTTCCCGTAGCGCCTGGGCTTTTGATCATTTTCATCTGCTTTCCCAAGACAAATGGGGGCTGGACCGCTGGAGGAAGGACAGGTTCAGAACCACTGATTGGTATTGAAGTGTTTGAAAGTTTGAGTCTTTTTTTCTCTGTTTTGTTTCTATAATGACGAAGTACAAAAACTTGGTTTGGACTCCAGTGGATGGATTCATGAATCGGCCACAATCAAGAATTTTCTCACCCGCCTCCCAGAGTCCCAGACTTCCAGCTGACAGCTGCACAATGGATGATGGATAAGAAAACCTCATTGGTGAAAGACGAGGTTGCTCCTCCTTCTCCGTGATGGCGCAGTTTCAGACAGGACCGGGGGTGTAGGGAATGATTTGGTTCAGGCTTCCCTGCTTCCTCTCTTTCTCTTGCTTCTGTGCTTTCTGCCGCGTAGCTTTTGGAAGAGCGGTAGCCAATGGTTCCTATGGCTCACCACCTGGCAAAAAAAAAAGATGAGTGAAGCCCGCCCCCGTTCTGGTAGTCGAGGCCGTCCGGTGTCCCGACCAGTCTCCATGTCGATCCACCAGTCCCATTCTGGCTAAGCCCCTTGACGGGGACCCCTGACGCCAATGCAGGGGCGCGGACGGAGTGCGGTTGTTGCGGGCTGGGACGGGTGGGATGCAGAGTTGATTTTGTGCCTGTCCATCACCGTACACGTACATAAAAAGGTACCGTTTTACTGACTTTGACTCGGCACTAGCCTCAGATTTTGCCCCTGAGTCTACTGCGTAGAGTTTTCTTCGCTCGTGTATCTGCCAGGCCAAGGAGGCACTTGGGCTCGGCGTCACGCGTGGTCGCTGACGACTGCTGAACCTTAGTCACCGGGCAACAGGACAAAGACAACGTACGGGAAAACGGTGGAGGAGGTTGGATTACTCGAGAATGTTCATGATTCACTGTTGGTCACCGGTGTTCCTCAGTGTCTCTGATTTAGAGCGGAATTGCCGAGACCTGCTCCTCCTCGAGGCATTGTTTCAGACTCCACAAGAAAGAATGGGCGAGCAGTGTATCTTTATGTAAGGTTAACTTGGTGTTCAGACGTTTTCCCACCGCATGGCGTCACGGCGTGCGAAGTGTGTGTCCAAATGGAAACTTGGATGGATCGAATCCGTATGACGGTTTATACGGAAGGCCTACCGTGCCTTACTGCCGTTTAATGCTCCCTAGGATAGACTGTACGTTTTTGTGTCTACTCCGTATACCTACTTTATGTAAGCTGAATGCAGATTGGAAGCTGGGTATCAATCACCTTCCTTGCTGCCCGCAGCGGCCCTGTCCAACGGTAATTTGATCGCAGGCGGGAAGGTCAGGCAGGTCCCATCTCTGCGTGATTGCTTGTGGAAAGTAAAGTGTCTTATGTAAGGCGGCACCTGAGCGACCCAGCCAATTCAGCCCTTCAAATAAGTACCTTTACTCTGATGCTTGAGGCTTGACAAAGGTCACTTGTCGGTACGTATCGTCGCCGCTCACTTCCAGGCAAATTGTTCCTTGCTCCAATCCCGGACCCTCAATCTCTTGTTTCCTCACACCAGCAAGGACTTCGACCACGACGGGCCAGTCTGGACTGTTCGACCACACGACACCGCGGCTGGCCTAGACAGATGCCAGCGGGGGGCTCAGATGGGGTGTGCAGGTGCTGCCTTAGTTTGACTTTTTTCTCCCGTCTGGTTTTGCTCGCAGCTGCAACTTGCAAGACCTTGCGCCGCCGTCTGTTTTCACTTTGCATCAAGGCCCGGTACGTACTGCACTTTTGACAGAAGACTTTCGTAAAAAACTAATGCGCATTCGCAGCCTTTCCACCACAGTAAGCTGATGTTTACCATCTAATGGTCGTCGTATTCACTACCCGCCCCCTCTTCCTCGCAGTAGCCGCCCGCCACCGCCGCTAATACGCCTCGCGCCGTCGAACGGCCAAGAGAGATAGAGTCGGCGACAAGCAAGCCGCACCATGGCATGCTAATGCCAGTGCCGCCGCCAGTCTGGCGCTATGGTATCCTCACACTACCTTCCCCCAGACCACGCTGAGGAAATCAGGAACAGGAGGAGATGATGGGCTGGTTTGGCTGCGCTGGGCTCCAGAGAGGACCCAACGAGGGGCCCAGTTCGTCAGCGCCCTGCGTGGGTCGACCCAATCCTTGGGCTATTACTGGACATTAGAACCAGCGCAAGGGCAGAGACGCTCTTGAGCAGGGTTGACGGCCTTCCGGCTGGTTGACGTTCCTTTGCACTCTGGAGCCTTTGGAGGTGCCTGGATGGGGCAAGGATCATGTCAGGGACGAGGTTCCAATCGAACCTGCGCCCGGTGGAGGTGACCAGGATGTTGAACACGACCTCCCACAGATGGTTCCTCTCCCCGTCTTGTCTTGTCCCAGTGGGAGGAGGGAGGAGGAGACGGATCAGAGACGGTGCTAGCAGCTGTGGTTCTGTGGACGAAATCCGTCAAGTAGCAAAGCAAGAGGGAGAGCGCGAGTGGCTCGGAGACCGTCCAGATTGTTCGTACCGTTGTTCGTCTGCGTCTGGTGTGCGTGCGTTACCCCCATCCACACCAATCCGCACGCCATCCCAGGGTCCATGTCCCTCTTTGCATGGGGGGCCCGTGGAGGAGAACAGACGACGCTGAGGTCGCTTCCAGGCTTGGGGCCCCATCTCCCGCCAACCATCGATCGCCAATCGCTTCCCCTTCTCGCTCGTTCGTGTCGTTCCTTTTCCTCCTCTGTCTCTCTCTGCGTCTTGTCTCTGCTCCCTCCCTCCCTCCTCCCACTCCACCACCACCTCCTGACCGGCGTGCATTCTCAGCATCGTCACCTTTCGCTCGTTTCATATACCCGCCCGTGGACTTTAGCCTCTTTTTTCAGCCACTGTCTCTCTCTTCGCCTATCTGGCTGTTGAAGAAACTCTCTCTCCCACTCCAACACACTGCTCACTCTCTCGATCTATCATAACCTCTGACGCCCACCTCACCACCATAGGTTTTCAACCTGCTTCCGCTGATCCATCTCTTTCGGCGTACCAGAAGCCTCATACGGGCTCATCCCATCGACACCCTTCGGGCTCTGCAGAGGGACCTCGCGGCCAGCCCATATTCCTCTTCTTTCCAGGTTGATCCTCGGCCTCTTTTATTTCATCTCTCTCGTGTCATTCTGTAGAAAGCTGTGCTTGCTTCTTGTTAGCCTCTTACCATTTCACAATCCTTCGACTTCACTAGTACAATCCGGTTACTTGTTTCCTTTGGTCCACGACTCTCGCAATATACCCTCCCGACGCGACGACGACTCCTCGAATAGTATCACTCAATTCACCAAAGAAAACTCACAACCCGGTCCCCGACGAACACGGAACCCCCTATCTCTCTCACCACCAAACTCGTTATCAAAGCGTATCAATCTGTTATAGCAGGGAAAGGGACGGCATCAATCGCCGGGAGTACAGGAGAAAGAAGCACAAAGAGGCTCAAAAAGTATAGACTTTGGATATACCCACCATCACACGGCTTTGGGAAACTTTTTCGATTCCCGACAGAACGACGAACAACGAATTTTCAACCACAACTTTGTCTTTACAACACAACACAATGACGCGAACCGCGCCCAACTGGGGCCCGAAGCGCCTTTTGGCCTTGGCCACCGCATTTGCTTCTAGCACCCTCGCCGACTCCATCCTCAAGACAAGCAGCTTCACGACTTGCGGCAACGATACCGCGATTTCCGTCCAGAAGATTGATATTCAGTACAACAACGACAACAAGACCGTCACCTTTGATGTAGCAGGAACGAGCTCCAAGGTTCAGAACGTCACAGCCATCTTGGATGTCAGCGCCTATGGCACTGCCATCTACTCCAACACCTTCAACCCATGCGAAGCAGGAACCTTTGTCGAGCAGCTCTGCCCTGGTATGTGCTAGCTGTCGATGAGTTGACGTTTCGATTACGGAAAATGCTAACAAATCTCAGTCCCCGCCGGCAGCTTCTCTGCTCGTGGCACTCAGAAGATTCCTGATGAGTATGCCAGCATGGTCCCGGATATCGCCTTCGCAGTCCCCGATATCGCCGCCCAGGCCAAGCTTCAGCTCAAGACCCTCGATACTAACGAAGAGGTCGCCTGCATCACGTCCCAGGTCACCAACGGTAAGACCGCCAGCGTCGCTGCCGTCTCTTACATTGCCGCCGGTGTTGCTGGTCTCGCCCTTGTCGCCACTGGTGTGTCTGCAGTCAGCTCTGCTTTCGCTGGAGGCAGTGCCGCCCTCAGTGGCAGTGGCACTGGAGGTGCTGGTACCATCAGCCCCAGTTTCACAGAGGTTTTCGGATGGTTCCAGGGCATGGCCATGAACGGCATGCTTTCTGTCAGCTACCCTCCCGTCTACAGCAGCTTCGTCAAGAACTTTGGTTTCTCTTGCGGCATCATTCCCTGGACCGACATGCAGGTCGCTATTGACAACTTCCGTGGTGCGACCGGCGGTGATTTGAGCAAGGACAGCGTTGAGATCCTCAAGAACAGCACTCTCATTCTCGCCGACGGCTCCACCGTCGACGGTGGCAGCGCCCTATTCAAGACCAAGCGTGCCGTCGAGACATTCCAAGCCCTCGTCCTCAGAGAGATTGAGACCAGCGTCAACGGAACCACCAGCGGCGACTCTGACGACCCGGTCACTACTATCAAGCAGAAGGTTCAGGGTATCACTGCCTTTGTCAACACTCTCAGTGTCCCCAAGTCCAACACCTTCATGACCGTTCTCCTCATCGTCGCCATCGTCATTGCCGCCATCATTGTCGGAATTCTCCTCGTCAAGGTCATTCTCGAGTTCTGGGCCCTTTTCGGTAACTTCCCTAAGGGTCTTGCCGGATTCCGTGAGCACTACTGGGGTTCTATTGCCCGTGCCATCACCTCGCTCATTATGTTGCTGTACGGTATCTGGGTTTTGTACTGCATCTTCCAGTTTACCAACGGTGATTCATGGGCTGCCAAGGTTCTTGCCGGTGTCAGTTTGGGTATCTTTACTGGCATTCTCGCCTTCTTCTCCTACAAGATTTGGAGCACTGCTCGCAAGCTGAAGCAGGCCGAGGGCGATGTCAGCGGTCTCTACGATGACAAGAACAACTGGATGAAGTACAGCCTCTTCTACGAGTCCTACAAGAAGGACTACTGGTGGATCTTCGTCCCCGTCATTGTCTACCTGTTCGCCAAGGGTTGCATTCTTGCTGCTGGCGATGGCCACGGCATGGCACAGACCTCTGCCCAGCTCGTCGTTGAGGGTCTCATGCTATGCCTTTTGCTGTGGAGCCGTCCCTTTGAGCGCAAGTCGGGCAACGTCATCAACATCACCATCCAGGTCGTCCGCGTCCTCTCGGTCGCCTGCATCCTCGTCTTTGTCGAGGAGTTTGGCATTGCGCAGACCACCCAGACCGTCACTGGCGTTGTCTTGATTGCCGTCCAGTCCGCTTTGACCGGTGTGCTCGCTCTTCTGATCATGTGGAACGCGATCAACGCCTGCTGCAAGGAGAACCCCCACCGCAAGCGCAGAAAGGAGATGGGTAAGTCTGCTTCCACGCTTTTTGAATACCACGTTACTGACCCCCTTTACAGAGAAGATGCAGCGCGACATGGACACCCTCACTCCTCTGGACGCCCGCAACTCCCTCCTCATGGACCGCAAGGATCCCGAGGCCGGTACCACCTTCTCCATGTCGAGTGTCCCCGAGAAGAAGGACCACCGCCCGGAGTCTCCCGACCACTACATGGGCGCAGCGGGCAACGCTCCCTACCGCCCTCTGGCGCCAAGCACGCCTTATGGCAACGCGCACCACGACCAGAGCCGCGAGAACCTCGTCCTCGGCGCGGCACCCATCGCCGACCGGGCGCCAACACTGCCCAACGTGGGCGGCGACTTCAACCACAACCCCCACGGCGGCTATGGTGGTGGCGGGTACCGGGGTGTGTATCACTGAAAGAAAAGCTGAAAGAATCGGGAGACGGCTTGACTGGCGTGTGTACCTGTTGGAATGACAATGAACATAGAAGTGTGGAATGTATGACATATGGATCTCTCTTAGCTGTTCACAGAGATTCCAGAAAGGAAGCCACTTATATCCTATTTACTTTTTCCTTTCCTTATTTCTTATTTTATATTTTCAAAAAAACTTATTTCCTTGGGTCTGCTCATCATTTGTCCGTCTCTCTCATTTTTCCTCTCAAAGATATCTACGGATATACACAACAACGTTTTACACCCTCTGCAAACACCAATGGTTATGATATCGACGGCTGCCTCTCTGTGTTTCTCGTTTCTTTTTGCCTTTTTTGTCGTAAAGGAGAAGAGGAAGAAGGAATTGGAGGGACCCTTGTATGCAGTCGTTATCAGCAACTTACACAACCAAGCAGGCCCGATATCCCCTGTGGGGATATACACGTTTTATGACCGCAAGGTAATCTTCTTCTTTGGGGTTCAAAAGGCGGAGGGTTTGCATAGCGGAGGAAAGGGCCTCGGATAAGTATATACCTACAAATGGAACGGAAATTAATAGTCTAAAGTGTGTGATTATTGAGTGATGAGTGAAGTTGAAGGGAAGAGGCTGATGATGTAGACGATATCAGACCATTGGCTCTGGGAGTGTGTGTATTGTGATAAGTTCAGGTACAGCGGTCTTCCCAAAGGAGTAAGAAACTCAAGGCAGCTCAACAAAGAAAATGTTCAGGAAACCTCGCTCGCCTTTGTCTCGTCGCTAAGGAAGGAACACATGGCAGGGACGGGCCACTCTTTCTTTCAGCGAGGTTTTTGGGGCACAGTTGCCTCCGTTAGACCGGCGTGTGCGAGAGATTGCATCTAGGCACTGTAAACCATGCACAAAACACTATTGAGGCACAGTGCGAGCAGAAAGGGCTGCCCCTCATCACCCCACTGAACGTCATCCCCACGACGGCAACTCAAACTTCCAAAGTTGGTCTCACAGCATCCCACTTGGCCCAAAGTTGGCGGCTCCAGCCTTGCTCTGCATTCGTTTCTTCCGCCCCTTTTTACGGGCCTCATCTTGCGGCCATCTCAGTTGCACGGCTCTGATCGTCTCTGATCTCTCCCCTCATCAAACTTTCCTGCATCTGCAACCATCGGCTTGGCATCCCGGCTGGTCGGCGACGCCTGCAGCACACACACACACACACACACAAACGGAAGCCACGCCGGAAGTTGCTGTTGCCTCACTATAGAAGGCACAGGGAAGAGGAAAAGGGGAAGAAACACCATCCACCTGTTTTGGCAGAAGCTGTCGGCAGATCCCAAGGCCAGCCCAACATGAGTGAGTTGCAAAGAGCTTGGGCCAAGAGGAAACTCGACCCCATGCATCCTCTACCGGAGCCCCTCAACGACCTCGACGAGGAACCCGAGACCGATCAGCTCCCCGAGTTGCCGGAGCACATGGACGACGGAGACTCCTCCTCGGCCTCGTCCGCCTCGTCCGCTTCTTCTACCGGCACAATCATCCCATCTCCGAGTCAGAACCTCTTTGCTCGACCGCAAGGGTAACGTACTTTTCTCTTGCCCTCTGCTGTTCTTCCCCTCCCGCCATTGCCACGAGGCCCGAGGAAGGAAAACAAGTTTGCGCTCACACCAAGACGCTGATATCCGCTTCTAGTGTGTCGAGGGGCCGCACGCTGGAGCAAATCCCGTGGACAACCTACTTTGAGAGAGAATTGTTCCTGAAGCCCAAGGTCGGAGACGATGACTCTGCCACCATGACGTACCACGCCTACCTCAATTCCCCTGTCGGGAAGGGACCCCTCTTCGTCATGCACCACGGCGCCGGCTCTTCTGGCCTCTCATTTGCGGCCCTCTCGTCCGAGATTAGGAAACGCCTCCCCTCGGCCGGCATTCTTTCTCCGGATGCTCGCGGCCATGGCTCGACAGTCATCACGGACGGCACCGAGCTCGACCTCAAGCTCGACGTCCTGACGGAGGACCTGTTCAGCGTCATCCAGCTGACAAAAGCCCAGATGTCTTGGCCTGAACTTCCTCCCGTCATTCTCATCGGACACTCGCTGGGCGGCGCCGTCGTCACGGATCTAGCCAAGTCGGGGAAGCTGGGCAACGCCCTGCTCGGCTACGGCGTTCTGGATGTCGTGGAGGGCTCGGCAATGGACGCTCTGCAGAGCATGCTCACATATCTCTCAACGCGGCCCACCGGCTTCGCCAGTTTGCAGTCCGGTATAGACTGGCATATCCGCTCGCGCACCGTCCGCAACTCGGTGTCGGCGCGGACGTCGGTGCCAGCGCTCTTGGTGTACGACGACTCCACCGACCCGACGAGGCCGTGGCGGTGGCGAACGGATCTGGCGGCGACGCAACCGTTCTGGGAAGGCTGGTTCGTCGGCTTGAGTAAGAAGTTCCTCGAGGCGAGGGGTGGAAAACTGCTTTTGCTGGCGGGTACGGACAGATTAGACACGGAGTTGACGATCGGTCAGATGCAGGGTACGTTGACGTTGCTCTCTTTTCCCCGTACCATTCTAGCTAGATAAGAGCTGACTGACACCCTGGCAATAGGCAAGTACGCATTACAAGTGTTCCCGGAAGCCGGACACTTCATCCAAGAGGATCTACCAGAGAAGACGGCGCTGGCAGTCGTGGACTTTTACAGGCGGAACGACAGAAGTGCCTTGGTGTTGCCGCCCAAGGTTGGCGACTTACTGAAGCAAGGCAAGAGAGTCTAGGGGTACTGTGCGAATATCATTCCATAGCAAAAGCATACAGCCGCCCTTTTCTTTTCTCGTACATTCATAGTTATACCCCTAGCTTTCGTGAGCTTGGTCAAGCAGATGAAAGGCAATCTATGCGATGGATCTACCACTGAGTCTAGCAAATGTTCCAGTACATCTCGTTACTGTGTGACCCTGAACCTCTCCCAGCTTTCTGTCATACCAAACATCGACTTTAATAAGTCTACGCCTAGCGTCTTCAAGTCGTAGAGGACATCTGCGGCACACTGCCATTACGTACAACCGCATGAAATTTATTTGAACTCAACAATAGCTTCAATAGGAAGCAGTCGTTTCTCCGAGCATGGTAAGATACGCACAAGGCACAGTTCCACGGGAAGTTTAGGGTTTTTAATCAAATAAATATGTCTGACCCCACCCAGCCTCTAGTTGCTGCCCTTTGACCGTCTCTGGCCCTCATTGAGACCCTTTCTTTCGTTACTGGCCTGTGTTCTGTTTCTGTTCCCCCTTATGTAAAGTGCCCCAGCTGGGCAAGGCGGTTTACTTTTATATCGCACAATCTCAGACAGCAAGGTCAACTCTCCCATAGCTGGCCAACTGGGCATCCATTGGATACATTCCATTCTGTGGTGAGATCCTCTTCTCCGTACCCTGTAAGTGACCCCCCTGAGTGCTCTTTTCCCCGTTTTGGTAGCACCTCGGTAGTACTTACTGTTTGAAAGTCCAAAGCCTCTATATTCCTCCGTTCTCAAGCGCGTATATCATTGTGGTTGAGAAAAGAGCCTTTTGTCGGTTTGATTGCGTCCTGAACATGTGCGTTTCTCTCCAAGCCGAAAGCCCGAGAGGCGCATACGTTCGTTGGGCGACTTGCTGCCTGTAGAATGCTGCTTTCCAAACTACTGATACGTGTGAGTAGCTCTTGGCCCTTGCCGTCGAGTCATTTGAGTGCACCATCGCCTCTATCAATTCTCGCACACGTTGCGGGAGCCTAGTGAGTATCTCGTCGCGCGAAAAGCGACTGGCGTGGTTGTCGCAGATTTTCTTACTCGGAGAACAACTCGAATCAGAGACCGCTTCTTCGCCCTGCTGACTGGTGTTCCAGATTGGGGATATATCATGTATAGAATGTACGGGGGAGAAGCTCCCAGTGCCATGTTGTACCTCCCAAGTAAGGTGTTGAGGGATTCCGGGAGTCGTGAGGGCGTGAAGCTTGTACCGAACGCAAAGAAGCGGCGATAGTAGGCTACTATGTGTTTGCCGAAGGACTCTCTCCCAATCGTGAACCGGCTTGAGGAAATCATTCCTGACCCTGGGGCCCCAACCGGATCTATTTAAAGGTGGGAGTCAAGCGCTTTGCAATTGTGGTAGAGCGATCGCGCTCAAGGCAAGCTGGTAAGAGATTTCGGAAGAAGGTGCGGATAGAGGAGGTAAAAGTCTGGCTATGGCAGTTACAAGAAGATAATGATATACATACAACAAGATCTTCATCCCTCGTTCTCGTCAGCCAAGTCCAGGAACGTTCAGAACGTAATTGCGACTGGGAAGTAAAAAGAGTTCACCCCCCCGGTGCTGAACTGGGGGCTACATCTCTTGGTGCTCATGCTGGGACTCGAACTCGAACTCGGAGCCTGTCGTCGAGTAGGCTGTAGGCGTAATCGCTAGTCGACCGTGAACCACTCCACCACCCAGCCAGTTTGACCTGACCCGTCGACCCAGACGGGCGCCTGCTGGCTGGTGACGGGAATGGTGTTGAGGGGGGGTATATAGCCTTCCCTCGCCGGTAATGTGTGGGAAGGTGAGGAAGGTACGGGCCGGTCGTGCCTGCCTGAATGACCAAAAGCACCTCAGGTTTGTTTACCTTGATCGAGATGCGCCACCTACCTGTCGTACCCGGCATAGAACTCAGCGATGTAGATTGCTTGCTCCGAAAGGGGATAAAAGGTTGAGAATTACCATGGGTTTCAAGACGTTAATGAGCTGTTTACTGGAGGACTTGGTCCCTTTCTGGACGGACTCTCTTCCCTTGATTTAAAAAACCAGTTGATGACCTCTCATGTTTCAAAACGAATATGTGTTATTGTTTCCAACGCCATGTTCTTCTATCCTTTCCCAAGCACCAAATGCTATCCAGAACACTCTGCTGGGACAGACCTCGCTCGTCTGCGCGCTCAGCGTGCCCCCTTTTCCCATTATATACGTCATTTTGTGTTCTTCACACATACCAGGAACCCAGCCCAGTTCGGTCCAGCCAGCCAGCCAGTCATGCTCACATCATTAATTACAGCACAAAGCACATCCTACACTCTCCACACACCCCTGCACACGCACGCAAGCACCTCACCAACCATCGACGACCTTGACGTACACGTGCAAGCCCTTTGACGGACGCGCCGTGACGCCGCCCTTGATAGTCATATTCTTCTCGTCGTACTCCTCCTTGTTCTTGAGGCTGAACTCGAACCGCCCGATCCACGAGGCGAGGATACACGCAAACTCGGCCTTTGCGAACCCCTGCCCGATACAGCTCCGCGGACCGTGGAGGAACGTCATGAAGGCGTAGTTGCTCGTCGCGCCGCCGCTGTTGGCCGTCTTCTTGGTCTCCGCGGCGTCGCCGTCGCGCGAGGGGAGCCACCTGTCCGGGTTGAAGCGGCCCGCGTCGGCGCCCCAGAGCGAGGTGTCCTTGTTTGTGGCCCACGGGCAGAGCATGATGCGCGTGCCCTTGGGCACCTTGTTGCCGTCGATGACGGTGTCGACGGCGGCTTCGCGGAGGGTCATGGGCACCGGGGAGTAGTAGCGCAGGACCTCGTTGCAGACGGCGTTGAGGTAGGGCATGTGGTCGATGTCGAGGGCCGTGATGTCGCCGGGCGTGCCCGGCGTCGGGAGGCGCTCGCGGATCTCGAGGCGGAGGCGGGATTGGACCTCTGGGTTGAGGCAGAGGCAGTAGATGGCCCACATCATGGCCGAGGCCGTCGTCTCGTGGCCCGCAGCGAGGAACGTCATCATCTGGTCGACGAGGTTGTCCTCGGTGAAGCAGCCGGACTCGAGCGCTACCGACAGGATGTCAATGTCGGTGAGCTGCTTGCGCTCCAGCTTCTCCTTCTTCTCGCGGATGAGCTCGCGGCAGGTGGCGCGGATGGTGTTGGCTGCCTTTGCGATGTCGCCGTTGCGCTGCAGGGGAAGGTGGTGGACGAGGTTACCCGGGAGGAGCAGGCCAAGGACCGCGAGGACCTGGGCCTGACGGCTCGGCTTGAAGACGTGCTGGTAGGTCTGGTTCAGGGGGTTCGCCGGGTCGCGGATGGCGCCAAAGTCGCGGCCCATACCGGCCATGCCGATGATGTCTAGCGTGGTGCGCGACGCCCAGTTGCCAATCTCCAGGACGGCGGTGTTGGGGCCCAGAGCGGCCTTCTCCGGGTCGGTGAGCCCTTCGGTTGCGCTCTTCGCGGCCTCGGCGTGGACGGCATCGGTGATGGCCTGGACGCCCTCGCATGCCTTGCTCCAGAAGAGCGGGTACAGGTCCTTTACGTGACGGAAGGCAAAGGCTGGCATGAGGTTCTTGCGCTGGACCTTGTGGTCGTCGCCCTCGGCCAGCAACACGCCGATGCCGAGGATGCGGCCAATGGACGAGCGGACGGCGCCGGGCTTCTTGAAGTCGTAGTTGTGGGTGACGAGCACCTCGGCGAGGGCCTTGGGCGACGTGATTAGGAGGCGCTCCTGGTTGAACAAGCCGCGGTAGCGAATGATGCCTTCGTGAGGGATGGTGTTGATCCTGTGTGGCGCACACATTTAGTCTCTTCCACGTCACATGTCAAGACAGCTTTCTCTCTCTCCCCGGTGTTCTACTCACCATTCAATCATGGGCACGCCAGTCGGCTCACGCATGATCCTCGGGTACTGTCCCATCAACCAGTGATCACCTTTGGGCCCCGGAAGCGAGCGCAGAGAAGAGAAGTACTGGGGGAATAAGAAGACGACAAAGATGCCCCAAGCCAGCATCTGGAAGGCAAATGCGCCCACAAAGGCGACTAGAAGGTGACATCTCGAGAATACTGGTTGTCGCAGGGCCAATAGTACGGCGATCGCAGCCGAGCTGACGGACACTCCGCGCCAAGGGACGCTCATTGTTGCGGTTGTTCTTCGAGTCTTTTTTCCTCTTGAGGAGCGTTGTCTGCGTAGCTAGTTCTCTTTGATGACGACGACGACTCCAACGTCTACGTTGCGACAAAAAAGGCGAGCTGTCCGAGTTTCGAAATGAGCAAAGCGAGATCTGTCAAAGACTGCGTCTAGAACTCTCGTAAAAAGACCTCAATGTCGAAAAGCGCGCAATAGACGGTTTCGTTGGTGCTATGTCTTGTTGACCTGGGAGGTTTGCGTAAGTCGCCAGCACTTTTCCCAATGACACGCAAATGAAGAAGCCAGCCTGGGCGTTTAAACTCCCGGGTAAGGGTAAGGTTATGTAAGGTAAATGGTAAAATAGACAGAAAGGAACAACAACGGATCAAAGCTATTTCTTGAAGTTTAAGCTCTCAATTAGAAGGGAAAAGAGGTGGTGGTGGCGTGTGGTAGGTAGAAGAGGGCAGACAAGGCGAGGCAGATCCCGCGTGGAATGAGGGCCGGGTCGATCTGTTTCATGCGTACGGGGTTGCAGACATGGAACCAAAGCATCGCCAGCACATGCACACCCAGGCAAGCCGCAAAATAGAGAGAAACACACACAGGAAAGAGAGGATCCACGCACGTACCGCGTTTTCTATGGGAAGTCCCTTATTTGCTGCGCTGTTCCAACTGTTCAGTCCGTAAGGTAAAGTAGGCACTTGGTTCCTCCAAAAGTCCGTTCTTGGGTTGTCCCTTCAGACAAGGGGCCGTGGGGTGGTGAGTTTTGGCTGTCGGAGACCACAGATGGGCGAGACGATGGAGAACGGAGTTGGGATGAGACGAGACGCGACGGGATGCCGGGGGTGGTTGGGAGAAGGGGTGAGTGAAGTTCTTCAAACGACGAACCCGGCTTTTGTTGTATTCTGATTTTATCTCAACCGGAAGAGAAAGATATGAAGAGTACCGTATTGTTGTCAACTCTGGGTTGGTGAATCTGAGAAAGAAGATCTGAGATGTTATCTCTGATGAAAGTCGATGAAGCAACTACACGCTAAAAGCACGTGGCATCCGAGGTCAATGGAGTGAGCAAGGGTGGTGGAGGAGGAGGACGTTCCCCTACTAAAGTAAAGAAGCAAACGAGATGGGATGCTGGGGAACGGAGCTGGAGTGATGACAATGAGCCGGTCTGCCGTTGGTTGCAAGCTGCTCTGCCCCCCTCCAAAAGAGCCCCTAGCGGATTTCTTGGCTTCGTTCTGCAGCTCGGTGGAGAGAGAAAGAGAGCTCGGCTCGATTGCTTGACAAGGGAGCTAGATAGTTGTACGTATTTCGATGCCTTTTTTCGTCTTTCTTCCTCCTCCGTCTTGGTATCCGTAGGCGATTCATGGTGTATACGGTGTATCACCTCAGCATCCCGACTCCGTCTTACTCTCTCTACCTGCGGATACGTTCTCTGCAGGACGCCCGGGATTCAGAAGTTCATCCGCAAAAAGGCAGCAGCACCACGTTCGACGAATCGGCACATGACCCGCGACTGGTGGTTGTTCAAAAAAAGGTGGGATGGTAGGGGGAGGGGTGCTATGGATGATGAGTACACTACATTTTGATGGAGACACCAGGCTCGAATTGAATGCCATTCTCGTCCTAGCTCGCCGTGGATTGGTTGTGTCGTGTCTTGGAAACCGAAAGGCCCAGCTCCAGCTTGCCTAGATATCTGGAAGAAGTTTAGAAGGGGAACTAAAAGTCCGGGACGGGATTTGAGGGGGGTCCCTGGCCATCGTCCCAGTCCAACGGGCTTCTGGGATGATTTGTTTGCCCGATCCCACCCTTCTTCGTTCGCTTGCTGTTCTTTTCTTCTTCTCTCGTGCTAGGAAAATCCGGCGGGATGTTGCCGCCTTGGAAACCCTTGGGAGGGCACTGTCCAGTCTCTAGCTGTGCCAGTCTTGTTCCGTTTGCACTCAGTCTTGGCGCTCCTCTGCCTTTGTCTTGAGTTCCAACATTGAGTGCTATGTACGCAATACGGGTTACCCTCTTCTCGGTGTAACATTTGGCTCACCTTGGAACCACTACCCGTCCTCTCCTCGACCCCGAATCCCGGACTAAAGAGAGTGAGCGAAAGGAAAAAGCAAAGGATACAACGTTATTGCGATTCCAGCGACTCGGTCCAGTCCCATGCCGATACCACGCCAAGCTTGGCCGTGCGAGGCAAAGGCGATTGGCTCAGTCAGAAAAGTCCGACTTGATCGTTTCGGATGGTCCCTTCGATTGGAAGGGGGACGCAAGGCCAAGTCGCATAGCATGCCTGTTTCAATCGCGTGGACAGTGCTCTTCTCTTCTGCTTCTTCTTCATTTTCTACATTTTCGCCTTCATCTCCAGGACGAGTACGGCTTGCAGGAATTCGGGGGACTTTTACCCAAACAAGGTAACCGAAAGCCTCTCTTACTTCTCGGTTTGGCCCCTCACCTATTCAAACAAGCAGAGCCCTGGACTATTCTCTGCAAAATGAGTTAAGAATGGGGCATAGCACAACATTAGAAGACGTCTTGTCTGGACGACCAGAGGAAAGACAAATTCAAACTGATTTGTCAAGAAGAACCATAACTTAACTTTGCCCCCCTGAACGCCCAACTTCAGCCCAAGTCGTTGCCGTTGCGTTCTTGAACCAAACATCGGGCTGTTCTGTTAAACTCACCCTTCCGTTCTAACTATCTTTCAACAGAGAGACGCACAGGCCTGAAACCTGACATAGACCACCAAATAAAAGGTGGTTAAAACAACCCAAAAGGGCCAACACAAGAAAACGGGAAACATCAAGTGCAAGAAACACAACAAGCAGCACCGCCACCTTTAGCCTTCGCCTTCAACGACAGGCTTTGTTCCGGTTCCGCCGTCCGTGGAGGTGAGGCTCAAAATCAAGAAGCCCTTCATTCAACCCATCCATCTTCCTACCATTCTACCACGCTAAAGATAGCTTTTGGTGATACAAACCCTTTTTACCGCCTGTTTAACGACATTGTCCTGCCTGCCATGAACCCAAGCGTCTACTCCTGCTGCTGGCAGCACACGTCCGTCCCCCCTCCCCCCCTTATTTCTAAAACATTTGATAATGCACCGCCCGGTCATTCGAAGCGAATGCTGCACCGCTCGGGAGGAAGCGGCAATCCATGACAGCCAGGAACTGTGGCAGAGCAGCAGCGACTCTGCAGTTCTACATTCGGGTGGCAGTCTTCCGTGGCATCAGAACAGCAGTCAAGATGTGGGGTGATTAAACGGCTGAAATAATACAACACGGGTCCCTAAAGAGTCTAAATCCCACCCATACTGTAGATCTGCCCCTCTGGGCAGAATGCACAGTTCCCGTGATGACGGACGCCACGGATGCCACGCAAAAGGGACCACATGGATAACGAGGCTCCAGCCAATGGGAAATACGGCCAACCTTTTCCATCATTCATCATCCATTTTCGGGCCGCGAGGGGCTCCCGTTCGCATTCGCTTACACGTCTCTGCATCGATGCCTGTCTGTAAGCCAACTTTCCACTTCAAACCTTGGCAAAGAACAGAATATACAGCGTCGAAAGATAGATCGCAATCAGCAGAATGATGTGATACCACTGCCTGCGTGTCCATCTGTCTGTCTCCCCATGTTAACCCAGCCACTCACACGCGATACACACCTCGCCACCCGCTTTCTCCGAGTGTATCATCACATTACTACCATCTGATATTCTCCAAAAAAACTCCCATGATTCGTGATCCCCCCCTCGTACGCACGCGGCAGAAACAACACAACCACCCAAACTTTCGACGTCCTACGAGCAATGAGGTAGGTGCCCGCCGGAACTGCACCCCAGATACTTAACCATCCCCTCTTCCTCTTGCCCCTCCCCTCGCCTCCACTAACCCGCCATCATCCCGGAAGTCAAGGAAACCCCAAGCAAAACCTCAAGAACTCTGACTTCGTCGTCGTTCTCCTCTCAGGTCTCCTCCCCCTCTTCACACTCCTACTCCGCACCCGACGGGACAAGACCCGCCGGGATAACCCAAAACACCGAATCGGGCCAGGGTCTAACATCCACAGAACCGCAAAACGTAAACCGGGCACGACACTGCCGCCCCTCCGTCCCGACGGATTTCACACGGGCTACTGAGACCCCAGATTCCGTTCCGTGCCGTCCACATTGCATTCTCCGCCAAGTTCGTTTTCCAACGGCCAAAAGGGAAGTGTTCGCCGTCCAATCATTGCCTAGAAGCTAAGAGTTTGTATGTCAACCAAGTCCCGTGATGTCTCATATCAATACCTGTGTGCCTGCCTACTTTAGAGGTCAGCTATGGAAAACCTATGCCTTAATCCGCGTAGGCCAACAATTTCACCCATACACTTGGATTCTACAACGAGATAGTCAGAAAACGGAATATGAGTGGGATAGAGTCATGTATTCGTCTGCTCAACTAACTAGAACCAACTAGACTAGCTTGCTGTGTCGCTTCCGCCATGTGCGCGGTGTCGCATTGTTTGCGTATCGTGGCTTACAGGCCAACACCAAATAAGTGAGTGCCCCCCTGAAATGTGTTGATGATGTGTGCACTCAGGCTGGCCCCCCAAGTGGTCAGCCCTTAAAAGCAGTCAGATCCAATAGACCTCATGAATCCTACCGAGAGACTTTGGATCCTGAATCATGCCATCACGAAGATGACGATCCCTGATTCCCTGAAACGCCATGACCACCGAAAAAAATAAAAGAAATAAACGCCGTGGTCGATCTGTGTAAAAGGTCATCCTGCATGCCGAACCGAGCCTTTCCACGAAAGAAAATTGCAGACTGGTTAGTGAAACTGTCCCCCATATCCAGTATACCAATTACGTTTCCACTGGCCACGCCGTCCACGCCTACGCTGTCCACAGCCGCCAAGTCCATGTTGACTTCCCTATTCCCGTACCCATGGGTTGGCTTGAAGCGACACACCATTCTCACCACCCATCATACGCCGATGGCTTTCGTCGGGTGCTGTTAGGTCTCCGATCCAAGGGCCCGGAAGGACTGCCGGCAGTGAGGTTCGGTTCGCGGGGTTCAGATATCCGTTCCCATGGAGCCCTTCAGGCACGCCAAGAGCGGTTGGCGCAGCTCCATTAGGGTGGCGTGCGAGTATCGGAACTCCCTGCGTCGAGGCGCTCCCGTTCTCTCCTTGACCTGCAAAGCCAGTCGCCTGATGATGGTGTTGATGCAGGTTGGAACCGGAAAACGACACCTGTGATATAGCACCGTGGTTCGTACGACTGGAGCCGTTGGATGCGAAAGCTCCACGAGGTGGGAGCAGAGCAGGAATTGCAGCATGCGCTCTCCTACTACTTTCGTATGCGCTGGATACTGGTCTGGGCCGGCTGCTGCTGAATGTTGGTGACCCTGGCCCTTGAATACCAGTACGAGGTCGAATCCTACGCCGACTTTCACCGCTGTCTGTCGGGGGAGAGCGGCGTTCACCATGGCTAGATCCAGATCCTTGCGAGCGGTTTGAGTCGTCCTGCGCAAGACTGGCGTCCCTGTCTCGCATGTAGCCAGCGTAACCAGCAAGACCTCCAAGGTTCACCTGACCACGATTGCGGTAGTACCGGTCAAAGTTTGGGTGTGTGGATGTGATCCTGGCTTCGTGCGGCACCTTATCTCTGCAGTAAGGGCAGCTGTCCGACTCCTCAAACCATTTCTTGATGCAGTGATCACCAAACACATGTTTGCATTTGGGCAGTCGCAGCGGAGCCTCCTTCACGCCCTCGGGTGTTTCCACACCGAATTCATTGTAGCAGATGACGCAGGCTGTCAAATCGTGTTAGTATTTTTTCTCTCACAATAGAGCCAGAATCCTTATAACTCACTTCTTTCGCTTTCTGATAGCTCGGTAATCGGAACACTCTGAAGAGATTGGATAGCCGATGAAGACGCCACATATTTCGTGGTCACAGAGCCACGCATGAACTGAGCGGCCCGAACGTGGTCTTCTTCCAGAGTCATAATATGACGCGCCATTTGCGTTGGATTTCCAGCCAATGCTATGACCTGTTCGAGCGCGCTTCGGTCGGAATCGACATCACTGTCGGAAAGAGGGCTTTGTCTTCTGGACGCGCGCCGAATGGCAGGAACTCGACGTCGCTCTGGATGGTGATGCGAGCCCAAGCTGCTTGATGAGCTCGAGGCTCCAGAAGATGAGGCGCCTGTGATATTCCGGGCATCATTAGCAGATAGAGTCTCAGGTACAGGCAAACCCCACTCACCTGAATTAGGTTGATGAACGTCATGCGGCGGATTGGGGAAGGTTGCAGTGCTGCGGTGGAGAGCAGATGAAGGAGGAGCAGATCCAAACTGGATGCTGGCCCCAGAAGATGGTGCTTGATTTGTACCTCCAGTAGAGTCTGATGTCTCGATCTGGGGAGGATTCAGGGCTGCCACAAGGTGTTCTGAGCTAGTTTGTGCTACGGGAGGAGTTGATGTATTCACAGAGTGAGAAGCCGTGTTAAAGGCGTTGTGGCGAGGTGCAGCATTTTGCCCACCAAAGTTCCTCTCAGAGCTGGTGTAGAACGGCTGGCCTTGTGCCGGATGGCCTGCTGGTAGGGCTGTCGAAAGATTGAATCTCACCGGAGGGAGCTGCGTATGAGGGAACGACGGCTGCATGGTTGGAGGGCCTACCATCTCGCTTGGGGGTGCCCCTGAGTAGCCACCAGCCACATTGCCAAAGTTCGGAACAGGTACATGGTTGTAGTAAGGTGCCTCAGAGCCCGAGTTCGAAGGCCGGTGCTGGGGTGCCGGATGTCCCCGGTGGTTCATCATGTGGGGTTGGTGTTGCCAGTGATATGGCCCAGGTATCGGTGGCACTTGAGGCTGCCAATTTGGGTAATTCGCTGAAGAGTGAACAGGGTCGTAGTGCATTGTTGAGCGGTGCTGTGGCATCCCAGGGAGTTGCTGTTGGCCTTCTCTGTTGAGGAAATAAGGGCATCGTGGTCGCTGTTGTGCGTACGGATTCTGTGCCTGACCCTGAGGCTGCTCCGGATGATGGTATGCGTAATCCATGGCTTCGTCCATGCTGTGAATCCCTTCCACCGTTGCGTGAGGAAAGTCCTCTAGCCTGTCGCTGTGAAGCCGGCTTCTGAATTGTGGCTAGTATTGCCTGTATTGGAGAATCACAGTCTCTCTTTCACCAAATAACTTGGCTCTTTTCTTTATTCCCCTCCTTGGTGTCGCTTGATTTCCCTGTTTGTATGCAGCTGCACGGCGTCGCTCGCTTGCTTCTTCTAAGCCCTTGTTCAATCGATCAGAAGGTGCGTTCGTCGTCGTACAAGCTGCCGGTGGTCGAGGCAAGCGGATCGTTCAAGTGAGGGGGTTCCGAAATGAATGTGGTCTGTTGGCAAGTCGTCGCAGACTGACTGGAGGAGGGGTAGATGCGGCCGAGTGGGCGAGTCTGGAGGTTTCGGAATGCGTTCAATTAAGAGTCGTCGCTGGTTTTATCGATGGGCGATAAAGAGTTTCCAAGGTCGGCTCGAAATGTTTTCTCCCCAGTAACCCATCGAGGTTTACCTTTTTTTGGTTGTAGTTCGTGTCCTTTAGGCGTGATGCACAAGGTGCTCAAACTCCCAGCCTCAGTAGGGTGGTACCTGGGGTGGTCGAAGCGGAATGAAGTGTAAGAGTCGAGCGGGACGTGATGCGGCTGTGAGGTGAGGGGCGCTGCTGCTAAGACACTGGGATGGGCCGCTGGATCATGCCGCTTTCAGAAGTTAGTCGGATGTTCGCAAAAGAGCGGGATGCAGGCGTTTGTCTTGTTTGGCCGTAACAGGTAAGATGCAGTCTGGGTAAGGACGATGGAGTTTCATGCCGTGGGAATTTTTTTAAGAAAAAATGAGAGAGGAAAAACGACTGTTTGACGTTCCTCGTAACGAACTGGTATTAAGAGCGGTCTGTGTCTCTTAATCTGCTTGTTCGCTCTTACTCTTGTCGCAGGGCGGTGATGGAGTAGGGATGAAAGGAGGAGCGTGTAAGAGGATTGTGCGTGGGAACCATTCAAGGCGGGGGATCGAGGCAGAGGGATGGGATACCTTATATGGATGTGGTGTGTATGAGTATCGTTGAGGATGACTACTCAGGAGGAGGCTAGACAAGGTGAGATGGGCCGAGTAAGGCAGTGAAAGGAGCAGAGCGAGGGCGAAGGCAGCCTGTTCGTCTCCTTATTAGGTAGACGAAAAGAGGGGTGACGGTGACTCGATGGGTTTTGGTTTCTCTTGTGACAGGCTGCATACGTCGTGACGCCGATGTCGCCGAGCAAGGGATATTGGTCGATGGGGTTCGGGAGGGAGACGTTGGAAGGTAAGGTTGGTTAGGTTCACGAGCGGTCGGTGGGCGGCGAAGAGTATCGGTGAGACGACGATGGCTCGGGAAGAGAGGAGGAAGTGGGAAGAAGAGACGAGAGACGGCCACCGGGGGTTGGAAAAGGGAAGGGAAGGCGCGGCAAGGAAAGAGGGGTGGGTAGGCAGTCTTGGGTTTTGTATCTCGTCGCAGGCAAGAAGGAAGGGAACCTTGGGGACACCAGACACCGGACACCAGACGCCAGACCGACAGACACCACCACTTATTGAGGCAAGGTGTATTAGTAGGGAGGCAAGAAAGGTCGGGTCGACAGGGCCATGGACGAACGACGGAGAGACGAAGGAGGAGACACTCCAGCCAGGCAAGGTCTAAGAGACAATGGGAATGGGTGGAAGGGAACCGGAAAGGAAGACGAGGCGAGGTCCAGACAAGGCACCGGAAGCCAAAGCAAAAGCCCACCTTGGACCTCACCACCCCCAGAGGTATAAGTCAGGTATCTCGCTCACACTCATCTCACACTCGACCCTCACGAAGGACAGGCTTGGAACAAGACCAGTGATGATGGAGCCCTTCGCAGAGAGTGCCCACGCAATGACACCGGGACGGGGGGTGGACTAGCAAGAGCATACACACGTACATGTGCAGAAAGAGTGAGGGAAACCATGCAACAAGACGGGACCGAATTGGTAGACTGCACAATCAATACGGCTGGGCCGGGCTGGGGCTGGTTCGAACCGACCGGCGTTTACTTTACGGTACTGCTAGCCAGCTAGATATTGCTACCGCTACTCCTCCGATGATCCAAAGGGCAGCCCATGACCGGGGCCATGTTCCATGTCCAGAAAGTCATGTCGTTGCAGGGCAGAAAGGGCGGTAATTATGGGCTAGGTTGGATTGCTTTGCTCCAACAGGAATGGATTGGACCAGAGCGAACCAAAGACGACGAAGCAAAGTGCCGCAACGCAAAGCACAGCAGCAGAGCAGAGGCACACACACACACAACACGCAGCACACTGCACACAGAGCACTACTTTGTATCCGTACACACAGCACAACATGGGCAGGGCAGGCAAAAGCTGGGCGTGGCATGGCATGGCGCTGCACTCCCGCCAGGGAAGACGGCAGACAATAACCCAATGGGGGGTTCGGGTCAGGGAGCAAGGGCAGAAAAAAAGACCGGGACTCAGAAGACGATTTGCCGTGAGAGGAAGATACACGCTGGGGGTACGGTGCGGAAGTAAGTGTGAGAGTTAGAGACCACTGGGTGAGCGCCGAGCAAGAGACTTGCAGGGCCATGCGCATCCGCCGACCCAGTCCAGTTCCCAGCTGGGAGCCATTTTGTTTCCATTCAACGAGGGGCTTTTGGGTTTGCATTTTGCCCTCATAATAATGCTACGTCCGACTCGTCCATCGTCTGGCCCTCTCACCTCACCTCGGGACCCCACGAAGCCTTCTCTCCGGTGACCGACTTGAGTGTACGGCCAGGTCCACCAAAAACAATGATAAGCAGTAAGAGTAAGCCAAACCGGGGCTGGAAAATACTGAATATTGGACGTGGCTGTCTGTCGGGAACAGCGACAGGATCAGTCTGGAAGGAAGAAATGACGGAAATTCGACCGCGTGGCCTAGTCCAGCCCGGGCGGGTGCTGATTGCTGGCGCCGCTCTGTTGGCAAAGATGTTTATTATCCATTGCTGCTTCGGGTGCCGGTCTACTAATACGGCGGAAATGTGCTGGATGACTGGGTACGGCTACCTTGTGCGATGCCCTCATTTTGTTCGCAGTGGTCTTTCCCACGTCAATGTTCCACATGTAAGCAGGCCCGGCCCTGGGGTATGCGTGGCTCCGTCTCTTTGGAGGGGCAAGGTATGTGACATGGACTGCGCTGGGCGAGGGTTAAATGAAAAGTCCCTTGTCGGGTGCTCATCAGGCTTTGGAAGCGGAAGCTGGAAGCGGATGAAGAGGCAGAAAGAGAAAGGCCAAGACAAGTTCGGATCTGAGACTGAGAGTCAGTGAGCCACGAATACACCGTACTTGCGTGGGTATTCGTACCCTTTACTTCCCTTGCCCTTCCCTTGAGACTGAGGGTAACCTTTTGCAGCCTGCCTGGCACGCCTGGCTAGTGCCCCCGTGCGAGGTGAGCCACCAAAAGTGAGCGAGACGTGAGCAACCTTACCAGACATGGGTAGCGAGCGGGTGTGTTTGGGTCGTTGTTGGCTGTTCGGATCCCACGGGGGCGGGCGGGTGTCAGTCGGCGGCGGCAAGGCACCTTTCCTTTCCTAAACACTTTCAGAGGCGGCGAGGGAAGAGACGAATTGTGATACGCCAAAGACTGGGTCGACACCAGGTCACAAGCACCATCCTCAATGGCGGACGAGCGGTGGTTGATGGTGGCGGCGGTGGACAGGGAGAGGCTTGAGGATGTGCTGCAAGTTGCAGCTAGGTCTCGTCATTGCCAACAGGTGTCGCCTTTCTCTTGAACCATATATTGACCATTGCAGAAACCATGTGAGTTGGTATCCGCAGTTGACCATTTGTGGGCGGATCGATGCACAAGGGCGGTAGACTGAAAGTTTCCTTGCTCTCAAAGAACCATACATGATGGAGCCGGGGCCTCGGGAGCATTGCGAAGAATGAAAGAGTCGGCAAAGGAAGAGCATCTTATCCCATCCATGATCAAACTGGGCTGGAGGCCTGAACAGATGGATGAAAGTGAGGGGAGTCGCTGATGCTGGAGGCGTGTAAAGTGAGATGTATCAGGAAAAGCGGGCGCTGACGGGAATGCAAGCGCACCGCATCGGCACATCAGCATATTGGCATCATAATCAGCATCAGCAGCCTCAGCAGTTTACTACAATTCGGAAGCGACGATATGCTGGCCTGCCGGAAACGTCTGAGCGTGGACAAATTCTCTTTCCGAGGTTCGTTACGCTGGAGTCTTCGCATTCCTGCCCACTGATCAGACTGACAGACGGAGCTGAGAACCCACTCACTTACCACTCCAGCTGGCCCGGCCATTTGCTTCACAGTGGAGGCGGCCGGCTGTCGGCTCCGCGAGAGCCCGTCGGGCGGGGAAAATATTTTTTCCGGGGTTTGTTTCGCGCGAGGTTTCCCCCTCCCCCCCCCCGATCCAACCTGCGGACGGGGCCGGGAACCCCCCCCCCCCCCCCCCCGCCGTGCCCCCCCCCCCCCCCCCCCGCCCCCCGAGGAAAGTCCCAAAAACTCCGCCGTGATTCCACCGGGCATCATCATGTCGTGACCGGGTCGTGAAAGGACGAAACCTTTCGGCCGTGGTGCGAAAGCGGTATGTATGTAAACGTCAACGACCGGGGGCCATGGGGTGTGTCAGTAGGTCGCAACGGCAGTCCTGGGCCCTGGCTTCAGTTGGTCAGCTCCATCTAAGTGTGAGTGAGGTGCTCACATGAACCACCTGAGCTCGGCCGGTCCAAGCAGGGCAATCAATAATACCACACGCTCGCAATGTTCTTCGAAAGGTATCAAGTATCAATAAATACGGTCCAGCGCCCTTGCCACGGATGAATGACCTGTGAGGCTGTGTCTAGAAACGTTTCTCGTCACGCTGACCTGCGAGCTCCTCACAGTACACCTGGTAGGCTGGCCCTGGTCATCACCTCAGTGGGCACAGCATGGCTTACTGGGCTTGCAGGATACTGGCATGATGATAGTGACGAGGGGTTGGCGACCCTGTAGGCTGTAAGGTAATCACTCGCCAATTCACTCACCACTGCTCTGCATGCTCTCTGTCCGTCGCACTCCAGACGCAAGCCAATTCCCACGCCGAAGAAAATACACTATTCAATAGCTCGCTGCCACCACAAAACCACAAATCATGGTCGGATTCTCACAGGAAGCTACACTGAAAGTAGTGTGGCTTCGGGTGTGAGAGATTGTCTCTGGGTCCGTGTGATTCGACTCGGCCTGAGAGCAACCAGGGCCGGGCGATAGAGTGAGTGAGGGTAAGAACGAAAGTGAGAGTGAGAGTGAGACTAACACACAACTAAGGCAGGCTTGTCAGGTGTTACGAAACTCAACTTGATCGACCAGTCGCACGCGCCATATGCGAGCCCTTCGCAGCACCAGCATGTTTTCGGCTTGTTATACATGAAGACGGCCTTAACACCCGCCATGTACCCTGCCTGTCGTCCTCCACTATCCGTCCTGCCTGTGCTGTGGCTCTTGGCTGCTAAGACGAGTGAGGTATCCGTATGGATAGGTGGTTGTCTCGTACTTTCTGCCCTTGGAAAACCTGAACTCGCGGCCTTCCCTTACCAGAAGGTGTCTTTTGCAGCTTGCCTCGCAGCGATGTACGGATGCCTTGCGCAGTAGTAATTGGGGCACTTTATACTCTGTGAGTCCTTCCTGGTCGATAAGTTAGTTGGTTATTCATCCGCTCACCTTCCCTCATCTGGCGAATAGAAGGAGAGACCCTGAACTTGCATCCAGACTGGGGTCCTGCCATCCAAGCTTGCTTCGCCGGCAAGTCTTCTTTTTTCTAGCAACCGCCCTTCGGCCGTTAACTCACCCGTCTTGAAAACGAAACATCTCGTCGCCAGCCTCTTTGCAATATCTATCCTCATATGCCGTCTTTTGCAACTTCAAGTCTCACAAAAAGGACTAATAGTGAAGCCTACTCTCAAGCTGTCCGGTTCAAAGTTCAAACTGCCGCATCCGACGGCTTCTCTTGCGTTTGCCCTCTTCTCCCCGGTATTTGCGAGACACGGTGTCTCCACAACTTGACCTCAGCCGGACAGCCCTCGATCATGAAATGCACCTAAAAGAACCCAGCAAGCCCGTGATGCTGCGGACTCCCTGCTCGCCTCTCACCGGTTTACTGGCCTGCTTGCCAGATCAAAACCAAAGGTCCGAAAGTGATGAAGCTGCTGTCGGTCCACACCGTGTACTGTCTTACTCGGCCGTGGTTTTGTTTTGCTCAGATGTATCCCGTATGACGGCGAACTTCCCAACTCCCCAGCGGGTGTGAGTACACTGACTATGGCGGAATTGCGACCGCCTTTTGAGGAAGCACGAGGGGCCCGACAATCCGCCGAGCGTGCCGACAAGATGCCATCGAAAAGAATGCTTTAAGATGCTCGATGCGTACACCTACTCATTGCCAGCAACATTTACGGAAGGTTTTCTCAAGTCAATATCCTTCGGCAGTTCCTCGCTCGTTTTATCATTGATCGACGTAACCGAGCCTGGTCTCTCTCAGCATCATGGCGAATCCTATCATCAAGTGGTTCGCGCTACCTTACCTTACGGATGGACTGACCGCCGACTTGCCGGCCGGCATGCACCACCAATCCGTCAGGTAGACACACGATAACGATAAGGAGGGGCAGCAGGAGGAGGGGTAGGGGAGGGTGTTGTTACGACAGGGAGGGGCCAGCTGTTGGGACCAGCCACCAAGGAACCGTTACTTTTTTTTCTCATTCATTACACCTTTACAATGTCGTACGCCATTCGTATTCCTCGATTTTCCCCCTTCTCGTCCCTCTTTCCCATGGGTCTTCTTCGCGAATCCCACTTCATCGTCGTTGCTGACCCTGTCACCCGGGCAGTGGTCGACAAGTACAGATACATTACGGGAGAGGAGGGGCCGTGGGGGCCTGCCATGATCAACTTGGACCGTTTGCGCCGGGCCGTTCACACCACACTCTTCCATTGTTGGAAATCCAACCATTTCGCTCCCACCACCTTCAAGACGTGCCCCGCCTTGGGCCATGCTGAGGTATGCTCCCTCATCTGCATCAGCAGCGCAATCAGCTTTTGTCCCAGGCGGAAGATACCATTATCGGCCCCCATCTGGTTGGACCCCTGACAGTGACTCACTTCGATTCCGAGTCTTGAGACCTCCCAAGTCCTCGCGTCCTGTCACTGTTCCCAACTGGCCAGGGACCATCCGTTTGACCCAGGTGGTTCTCAGATTCAAAAATAATCCAAAACCTCACTTTTTCCGAGTTTGCGCCCTCACAATTTCGCACACCCCCTACCAACAAGCTACGTCATAACAGGTTCTAGCTCCCCTTCCGAAAGGAACAGACACGAGGGAAATGCAAGGACCCCGCGGCTTTGTCCTAACAAGACCCCAGTCACGACCCTGCTGCAAGACCACCTAGCTTCGAGGAGATGATACTTATCCATTGGCTGGAGCCCTTTTTGGTCGCTAACCTCGTCTCTCATTCGTTTTCGAAGCAGCGGGATCCCCGCGAAGATCTTCTGAGCCCTGGTTCGCGCTAAGATAAAGTGCTCCGCCGTCTGCGCTCGACACTACTG